CGTAAATACGAATCACAATATCGGATTTTTAAATCTCGTAAATAAATCGCAACACGCAAATATGAAAAGATATGTTTGATATTAAAATCGTGTGAATAAGAATCGAGATATTAGCAGATTCCAGGCTTGGGACCTCTGAAAGGCTTGTCAGAAGCAGCGTCGTTTGAACTACGAAAATCGGATCCATCTGGAGGGCGGGTAAAAAATTCGGAAAATCTTATCTGCTGCGTGTAAAGGGGAGAAAATAGGTAAAATAAGTAAAAATGAGAAAGGATTGGTAGCTATGTAGTTTGAATTTTCTGTTCCTCTTTGAAAATCGGTGAATTTTCTGAAAAAGCAGAATACTTATTTAAAAAAATGAAATTTTTAGAAAATCTGAATTTTTGATAAAAAAGCTGAAATTTAAGAGATAAAAGTGAAAAAAGCGGAAAAATCTCATCCCTGATAGATGGACTAAAAGCTATCGAAAGTTCTATTGAATATATATGGAACAACAAGAAGTGACGATACTAGCCCTCCTGTTATCTCATTTAAAAAAAAATAAATAAATTAAAAAAAAAAAAAAAAAAAAAAAANAAAAAAAAAAAAAAAAAGCGAAACATTGCTGCAGAAAAGTGTTTATGAAATGTAAAACAATTAAGGACTTTTTTAAGTAAAAACTCTAATTCTCGCAAGGTATGCTTTTTAAGTGTTTTTAAATAAACATTTTAATTAAAATATGAATTGTAAGCGGCATACTCATATAAATTTTGTATTTGTTAAATATATTACATTTATACCCACTCTTTGAACTAATAAATTAATTCAAAATTTAAACAAGTTTATATTACATTTTCATACAAACTGACTAGTAAGAAAAAAACATAAAATTGCAAATGTTTTTTTACAGTAAGGCAAGAATATACATTTTGCAAACAGGTATTTGCAACAAGGATAATTGGAATTTCTTTCTTCATAACTTTATTTGATTGTCCAGCAAAAACTGGAACTAGAATTCTAGATAAGCGGTCGTCAACGCATGGTAATTACAATTAGGGTTCTCGCTCTTTTATCAAAGCAAAAATTAAGGTCTTTTCTTTAAAAAAAATAACTGACCTTTTATATTGCATTTGCTGATATAATTGTATAATCTTGGCCCTTATATATTATTTTTCTAACCAAGTTTTTTTTCCTTTCAGAATGCTCTACTTTCAATATAAGATCTCATTCTAGGTGAAAGGAAGAATATTTTAATAAAAGAACAGAAAAGGTACAGGAACAGGCTTTCCCTTGCCAGTAGTCTCTTGCGAACACATCCCTTTTGTCTCTTAAAATGTTCTACCCTCCATGCAAGGTCTCAATCTAAGTTAAATACTGACTTTTTGTTTCTAAATATTTCTGTAAGATTAAATTGCTAAAATCAACTAGGGATACTGGAAGTTAAGGACTTTGAAAGACCTTGAACTAAAATTAAGTACTTTTAAGAACTGTGGGAATCCTGTACATAGAAAGTAGTTACCAAAATATGAAACTCTAAAACAAGACTTAATTAAAATCCAGCAGAGTTAGCAGCTATGAATCTAAATACCACACATGTTTCATATTTAACAAAATTTTTTAAACTAAGGTTTATAATTAAACTACCTACCAATGTAGTAATATCACACCTTAATAGTAACTATTTTTTAGAAAAAACTTGGTTCGTAAGAATAGCAATATTGGATTTTAATACCAAGTGAATTTAAATTGCAATATTTGACTTTAAAAACACGTGAATACAAATCACGACATCGGATTTTAAACCCACGTAAATACAAACCATGAAATTGGATTTTAGAAAAGCATGAATACAAATCAGGATATTGGATTTTTAAAGAGTGTGAATGATGTGGGGTTTCTTAAATTGCATGAATATAAATCGAAACGTGCAACTTTTAAACCAGGTAAATACAATAATAATTTAATATAAAAATTGTGCGATATGAACCACGATATTAGCAAATTCTGGCACAGTTCCAAATATCCAAAATCTGTCAAACCAAAGAAATGAAATTGGAAGAATGACATGTATGCAAACGTCTCGGTAACAAGATTTTATAACTGACATTGATTTTTTTTGTTGTTGCAATTACCTATGTTCAACTCTGAAGCTTTGTAATTTAAAACCCAATCTAGAAGACAGGGGAACTTCTGGATCAAATACTAGGAGAAATTTACTACTTTAGAAGTAACACAGCTTCCTCCAGAAAGTGACACAGCAAAGGGAAAAAGAAAAGTATCTCTGTCCAACAATTGTTTACACCCTGGATTTAAATTACGTAGTCATTCTTTAGCTTTTGGTTTGAACTTAAAAATTGACCTATCTTTTTCTCTTGCTGTGTCAAAAAAACAAATAAACAAAACATACAATAAGTTATAACTTATTAAGCTGAAACAGTTATATACTAGAAAATTAATTATATCATTAACTTTAACTTTAGTTTCTGTATCTTAACTTTGAATAAAAAAAATAGCACCCAATTTCAAATTAACACAATTTAAATTTATTTATTACTTCACATACATGCGTGATTCTTAGTAAGTTTTTAAAATCAGAAAACTTAATTTGACCTTGAACTTACGTGTCTTTGAATAGATTTTATTACAATATGTTCTCATGTTCAGCAGCGGACTTATTCACAAACCTCAGGTTCTGTGAATAAGTCTGCTGCTTTATCAAACTTCTTACATATTTCAATTAAAATAAATTGTTATTTACATATTATCTAACAAAATGGTAACCCACATCAATATGTTTACTTTGAGAGTTCTTAATTTCATATTTAGAAGAATCAATAACAACACTATTATCATAAAACAGCTCAGAAAAAAAAAAACAGTAAACAAATTTTGTTCAGTCTATCGATACAAGCGAGGCAATTATTAATCACATAATTAAATGTATGTATGCTGAAAATCATTGAAATTTTTACTTAATCATGAAGTTCAGGAAAATAAAAAGGTTTAATTACAGATAAGTTTGATTAAAAACAATCATTATTTCTTTATTACACTTTGATAATTAATGCAAATACAATATGATAAAA